CTTCTGTACAACTTTTGAAAACTGGTTAATTTCAGGGAAAAAAAGGTCTCATGTACACTAAAATTTTTTTTGTGGGAAACAAAGTAGATGCCCAACAGCAGGGAAATGGCTAAATGAATCGCAGCACATGGATATCATGGATTATTACACACTAAGAGAAGACACAATGAGAAATCTGGAGAATTCATAACTTGTATTCACAAAGGCAGAGAGAATTAAACTGAACCAAGAAGACAATGTATTGCTATATAATCATAATGAATAAAGTTTGGCCAGGCGAAGTTGAATGTCTCTCCTTCCCTCTTGGGGTGGGGGGGATTGGGGGAGGAGACAGCAGCCTGTGGATATACAATATTGCATGTTGTCAAATATGGGGGTTGTACTGGTTAGTTTTACTAAACTGCTTTCCTCTCCTTCCCAATGCCTTCTTAAATCTTTGTTACAAGGGATGGCTCATTGAGTAGAATGAAAGGATATATATGCAGAAATGAATGTGATATAAAAAACACAGAGTAACCAAAATAAGGATTTTCAAAAATGCTTTTCAAAGTTAGAAGACTAACAAAGGAATACAAAAAGCTTTTTAAAACCCAGAACTGGCCAATCTGGCGCTTCGGCCAATGAAAGTTCAAACTAGGAAAATTGCCTAAAATAATATTATCTATATAGCTAGAAGGATCCCAAAAGGTCATGTAGTGCAAGCCCCTCATTTTTTCAGGAGGAGACCACGGCTCAGAGAGGTTAAGTGGATCCAGCCAGGATCACACAGGTAATAACAATATGTGGCATTTGAACCCAGATCCTCTGCCATCAAATCCTATGCCCTTTCCACTGCACCAAGTTGCCTCATCAATGAGCTGAAATCAGTTTAATCCCAATTTTGGATGTTCTACCAAAAGCCACATGGAAACGAACTGAGCTTGGTGAGAGAAACCGAACTGCCATGTTTTCAATCCAACATTAACCTATGTGTTCACATATATCTAGCCTGGGCAAGTCACTTAACCTTTCAGTGACCCAGGCAACTCTTAAGACCATAAGTCATAGAGCAGACGCTGAACCACATTGGTAAAGGAGTTCCTCATCTGGGAGCGCCTTACTCTGATGAAATCATGGGTCTACTTATTAAAATAAACCAACAATTGCATGTGCACACATATACAATTAATAAGTGAGCTGGTGAATTTCTCTTCCTTTCTGTAACCTTTAATCAGTATTTTCTATATGATGTGCAAGTATATATATGAATATTTAGTGTATAAATGAGAGCTGAATAAAGTTAGGAAATGGCTATTTCACGGCTTAGTAGACAAAGTGATGGACTTAAGAGTCAGGAAAACAATCAACAGACATTTATTAAACATTAGGAAATGCTAGGCCCTGTGCTAACTATTAGGAATGCAAAGCAAAAAGTCCAAACAACCCCTGCCCTCAAGGGGCTTACATTAAATGGAAGAGGTAACATGTATATAAATAGGTATATATAAGATAACAAACAGACACAAAAGGTTTTCTGGGCCATGCTGAGTCAAAGCCAGGTCAGTGATTCAGGCTCCTGATAGGACCTCAAGGTGACTTACTTATGCAACATAAAACATTCAACAATAAGAATTTATTCATCCATAAAAAAGGTTCAAGCCCAAATCACATGGCCCAATCAAATGCTGAGGACTGTCTTCTAGCTTCTTTAAAAGAGAAACCGGCCTTACCTAAGCAAAACGGGTGCTATTCCCACAAGGTAACCTTAGACTACAGTAAGGCACGGGCAACTGCCCTTCTAGTGGGGCGGGGACCTGAACTGAATGCTGAAGGATGCCAAGGATTCTAAGAGGTGGAGGTGAGGGGCAGGGTGGGAAGAGACAGCATTTTAGGCACAGAGGACAGACAGCTAGTGCAAAAGTAAAGAGGAAGACAGAAGCAAAGTCACATGTGAGGAACTGCACTTCTAGTCTCACCTAACCTGTATTAAGAAAGCCATCGCCAGAAGCAAATAAGATGAATTTTTTATTTTTAGGAGAATATGAAATATGAACAATTTTAAAATGCAGACAGTTTCAGTTTACCAAAGGGAAAAAAACTCAGCAAGTTGCTTCTTTCATGAGTAAAGAAAAGCACAATAAATGAATTTGTTATGCAGGCCAACACAAGCTGGTTTCAATGGAATAGAAGGTAAGTCGGCTCCTTTTGAACCCTAAGCTAGTTCTATTTGCAGCCACAGCTATTGTTTTAAAAATGGTTTTCTATCAGGCTTAGGAACTCTGGCTGAAGGAAACTGAAGCAGTTATTGTTTTTACTAAGCAGTCCTTGTACATACCATTTAGAATTTTTAAAACTGAAGCACATGCCTAAGAAATTAAGATTTTTTTTAATAGCACTGGAGGATCAAAATCTATTGCTGTGGCTGTAAACCCCTAGTTGCTTCCTACAATGTCTTCTACAGGATTGTGCTAAAACAGGTCCATTTCCCTTCTCCAAATTTATCTAGTCTCTGTCTGATCTCAGATACTCTCTTTCTAATTTTGAGTGAACTGCAGATTAAGATATGATGTGCCCCCTTATTCCACAAAAAAGAAAGTCACAGAAGTTGGATTCCTTGCTGAGGACATGGCAGTTTAGTGGTAAAGCTGGATTAGAACCACTTTAATATGTTGTCTACTGGAAGAAAGGCCTTTAAATTAGGTTATATATGTAGCGCCATGTTAAGTGAACACTTCTATTGCATTAAAAATCGTTCATTTCTATAGCACTTCAAAGTTTACAAAATGCATTCTTCAAAACGCGTTTTTACATTTTGGTACATAGGTAGTGCAAATAATATCTGCATTTTACAGATGAGGAAGCTTAATCTCAGGAGGTAGCAATTTGGCCCTGATCAAAACTGGGACTGGAGTCCAGATAGTTGGATGCCAAACGTTGCACTTTCCACAGAAGAGAAGACATTTTCATTATTTATTATTTGGGGCCTATTCATTTCCTAATCAACTCACAGATGACAAATTAAATATACTGAATTTTTCTTCAGTCTCAGAAAAGAAGTATAAGCTCTCAAAGGACCCTCTGCAACATTATTTCCTTACTTAGGCTATTGTCTTGAAGAATACAGCTGTTACCAAGGTAGTGAGAGTAGATTGTTTAAAAACCTAAGCGTCAGGACTGGTTTCAATAATAAGGTCTTCTAAAGCAATTTATAATTGAGAGGATAGAGGCTTCAGGTGACATGCACAAGTGAAAAAAAAAACAAAGAGGAATAAAGGACTTTCAAATGCAAGTCTCTAAAACTCCCTTTCAAAGACAGTAGGGAAAAATTTCTAGGGCAGATGGGGAAATGGGGGCAATTAGAAGAGCAGCTCGACCGGGGGGGGGGCAAGCATTTGACCACGCCCACGAAGTCATGCCTTCCCAGGGGCTAGCAAGCCCGATATGAAGAAAACCGGATAGATAGCACGACTCTCTTAACAGGGGTTACCATAGCAACGGAATTCATCCTCCCCCTCCTTCGGCAAGGAAATTTCGGTTCAATTCATAGTACAGCATAATTTTCCAAGAAACTACCGATCCAATTAACAGAGCAAACCAGTTGACATTCTAAATACGGGGCGGGGTGGAGGAGGGATGGGAGACAGTAAAAATGGAAGGAATAATTCGGGAAAGATCGGGGTGCTGGGTGAGGAAACAAAGTATGTAGTACTGAAAGCTTTTCTGGTATTAGTCCCTTAACCTCCAACACTTTATTCAGAAGTGTGGGCAACCTAGCCAGCTCAACACCACTTCCTCCTCAGGACATTCTGAGAAAACCAGATTATTCAGCCGTCCTTCCCCTCGAAGAGATAGAAGCAGATTACCCTAGCTGAGCCTGTGCCTCCGGATGCAAGGTTGGCCAGGGTGCCCTTCGTCTCGGAAAACGTGGAGAGGGCAAGGGCGGAGATGCGCACCGCCTCGGGGTTGGGGACGGGAACAACCAGCTAGACAGCTCAGTGGCTGGCACCGCAACCCACTGCGGTGGCTTTAACCACCATTCGTTTCCTGCACTGTCTCCCGCCCTCCCAGATTCAGGGCTCTGCTGCCAGACTAATTTCCACAACACCTCGCCGTCCTCCATGTACATAGCCCCCGACATTCTGCTTCGAACTTTGCATGAATCTCAGACCTTAGGATCCGGGCAAGAAATGGTAATTTCTATTTGGAGATGAGGAAGGTGGGAGGAGAGTTAAGCATTTCGCCTTCCCCACAACCACTCCTCTACAGCTAGGGGTTCAGAGCAGCCAGAAAACAAGGACCCCCTTTTCTCATAACCTACCCTTTGTTACCACAGCCCCCCGACCAGAGGTTGCCCCCACAGCGCCCCCGGGGTGAGGGGGCATTAGGTGAAAGGAAGCGAGTCGTTCGGTAGCAGCGCTGCCCAGCAGCACCAAACTCGGGCCAAAATTTCTTTTGCCTCCCGCTCCCTTGCTTTCGCTGAATCCTCGAGGTGGGGAGGCTCACTGGACATGGTCAATTTACCTCGTGTAAAAACACATCTGAAAACACATGAAAGAAAAGGGGGGCGTGGAGGGAGATGGGGAACAACCGTAGCCCTTTTCCCTAAATCCCCTTCTTCCCGGCTCGCCTCAGTTTTGTATTGAGGTGCAGCCATTTTTCCAACCCCCACCCCAGCCCAGGGGCAGTTAGACTTCTCAGTCCAAGCCCGAAAGCCCAGAGCTGTCCTGTTCCAGTACCCACCCATACCCAACCTGAACGACGGGTTTAAAATTTACCTACTTCCTCCCGCAGCTCAAGGAAAAGGAGAGGGCGAGCGAGAGAGAGAGAGGGGGAGAGAGGGGAGGAGAAGGAAAGGCAGGGAGGAAGAGCAAACCCCGCAAACCTACCGCCCTTCCCGAGATGAACACGCAGCCCGCTTTGCTTCCTCACAGTGCCCTCTGTGCCACTTAATGAATGAGAAGAAGCTGCGTCCCCGTGAGCTAGGGGAGGGACAGACGCGCAGCGCGGCGCTCCCTCCTTACCTGAACAGCCTCCGAACGCTGCGAAAGGCAGCTCGGAATACAATGGGATCCGTTTAAAGAGTTTCCCCCGTAGTGGTTAGTATGTTACAAGCTCGCAGGTGACATCACTCCCAGCCTAATAGGATACAATGTAGCGCTGACTGCGCATGGACTTCCCGGCTGGGGCCCCAGAGAGCGCTGGGAATTGTAGTTACTTCCTGGGGATTCAGTCCCTGAGCAGCTCCTCAGCGCCTGGATGCCTAGGACTACAGTTCCCAATGCAGTCCTCAGGAGCCTCCGCCTCCTCCCCTCAGATCCTCCTTCTCTTGGACACGCCTCCCTCCCTCCCCTCGCCCCCCCAATCTCCTAGCTTTCCCCGTGGTCATTCAGATAAGGAAGGAGTGTCCTAGCAAAAGGGAGAGTACATCTAATGACCCTAATCCCCTTTTACTGGACCTTTACTGTAACCTAACTCCGTGACCTTTGGACCTCCCAATGAGGCTTTTCCCCCTAGTTCGTTTCCGGACTTCTTTAGGAGAAAGGGGGAGACATTTACTTGCCCCACAGAAATGGCATTGTCCCCTCAGGAGTCTTTTGGTCCCAGTCGAGAGAACAAAATAGACCCTCGTTCTAGTCTCCATCGTTGAGAAATCAAGAGGTTCGACAGTTCTTTCTCTTAAACAGCTTCAGACATATGCTGATTCAACGTTGATTTAAATGCTGACTTTTCCTTTCTCTTTTCTCTTTGGCCCCTGTCTCCTTGTCCCTGTATGCAATGGAGCAGCACTAAGCAGAACTCGGTGCACAGTTCAGCAAGCTTATCATCGGAAAAATTCATGGAATCAGTCAAGTAGAAATAACATGGTGACACAGTCTCTGTGCTGTTCCTGGGGCATAGGTGGAATCTCCCATCTGCTGGACTCTCCCATGGTGATCTGTGGGCAGGCTTTTGGTCAATTCTGGAGGTAGTCTTAGCACTCTTACTCTGAACTCATTTTAAAAACATTCTTTAAAAAAAAAACCACCACAACTTTTAATCGAAAAATATCCCCGCACACAGACCTCTCCTTTCTTTTCTTTCACTTTTCTTTTTTTTTTTAATTTTTAAAGCAAGTTCCTAATTCAAACAACAAAATCATGATGGGGAAGTGTTGGAATTTGACAGAATTAAATGTCACATTTGCAACGAGTTCATTTTGGCATAAAATTTAGACTAACCAAAAGTCACAGAGCAGAGCATATCAGAATATGGTAGTAATAATAACAATAATAATAGCTAGCTAGCATTTCTGTATCATTTTATAAATATCTCATTTCCCCCTCACAACAACCCTAGAAAGTAAGTGCTATTATTACTTCCATTTTAATGGATGAGAAAACTGAGGCAGACAGCAGGTAAATGACTTGCCCGGGAATCACATACTGGAAGTGTCTGAGGTCAGATTGGAGTTTGTCTTCCTGGCTCCAGGTTCAGCACTATCCATTGCACCACCTAGCTGCCACTACTTCAATGGTTGGCTTCTAGGTTTTTACTTTTTTATACTTAGGTTCATTGCCTAGCATTTGGTGGGAAGTTAAATACTAAATCCTACTGAAAACTAACAGGTTGTTGAGCCTTCGAAATATTTTTGATTAAAAATTATATATACACTTGAAGAGGTGTTTCTTTAATATAAATAGGTTGGGCTGCATAACCAATATGATCATTCTAGCTTTATAATCCTATGATCCTGCTTAAAAAAAGAAAGATTTTATTTTTACTTGTGCTTTAGTCTAAAACAATCTTGGATTATTTTGTTTCCCAAAAGTCTTAGAATGGAGTTAAGCACTGAACGACTTTTGAGACACCATGTATTTCAGAACCTACAAAATGGGCTATGTCTTCTTGAAAAGAAGCCGATGGGAGTTTTCAGAAATCAAAAGAAAAGGTTCCACTGGTAACCTTGGTATATCGAGAGAAATTGAGGAAGGCCTCCATCACCACTATGGGTGAACGAACCCCTTTTGGTGAAGTTGTAGTAAGACATGGAACTCCACAGGATGGTCAAGCATGAATATGGTAGGATCTACATGTTGTAGGGAACACACAATGGTCATAGATAAATGTTCCACAAGAAGATAATTTCCTCTTTCATCCCTAGTAATCGGCTAAAAGTTAAATTTTTCACATTCAAATATTTTAAGGCCTCAGGAGAACAAATTACTTATATGCCGAGGGAGCAATTTTTATGTTGAGTTTAATTTGCTTTAACACAACAGATACTTCCCAGCACACACCCAACTCCCATACCCTACCAAAAACAAAACAAAACAAAACACTACATTCACTTTAAATTGTCAATTAAAACTATGCAATAGCATTATTTCAAATTATTGTAAACATATTTCTACTTTTGCACTTTGCCGATTGTTTTTTATTTGTCTATTTGTCATTGGTTTTGTTTTGCTTTGCTTTTTGGTAGGTACCTATGATTTCATAGATGTAGGCAACTCCAGGGATGGAAATTTTACCGATGTGAATTAGCAATCTTACCTACAACTTCTTGTCCTAGAAGTTGCCTGGGACACTGAAAGGTTAACTCAGTGGTCTCCAAAGTGGAATTGTGGAATGATCCCAAGGGAGCCCGTGGCTTGATCCTGAGGGCTGTGTAATCACTCAGGAGACAGGAAGATGGATCATATTCCATTAATTTCCATAGCCAATTCTGAGTCTGTCTTCAACACAACCATACCATCCTTTTCAATACCCCCTCACCCTGCCTACTCCTACAGAAAGCCTCCTCTCCACACCCCTCCCATTCATACATCTTTCATCCCTCCCCCACCATTCCTTGCCTACCCTTCTTCTAAACTTCCATAATTCTACTGAGGCACTACCATCCTTCTAGCCACCCAGGTTTGTAACATTGGTGTTATTCTTGACTCACCATCTCTCTCCCCACATATCCAATTTGTTGTCAAATCTTGTCATTTCTATCTCCACAATATTTCTCCCTTTTGTCCCCTCTACTCTGCCATTATCCTACTGCAAGCCCTTCTTGTTTCTTACCTATGTTATTACAATGGTCTCCTAGTCTCCCTGCCTGTAATTTCTACCCACAAGCTGAGCCTGGATCAAGCCAGCATGGTTATTCAGGTCTGAGAATGGAATGAAATGAGACACTTGGAGATCATCAATGAAAGGAAGCTTACTTAGCAGTAACAGGGGAAGGACATTCAGAGCGGGGAAAGAATATTCAGTGAGGATACAGTATTGATTCACGGGGCTATAGCTTCCCTGTGTCAGTATTGGTCATACTGGTCAGCTAGTCAAAAGCCTTAAGGAGGAACAAAAAAGCAATTTGTGTCCTGGCTTCTCTTCCTTCCTTCCTTCCTTCCTTCCTTTCTTCCTTCCTTCCTTCCTTCCTTCCTTCCTTCCTTCCTTCCTTCCTTCCTTCCTTCTTCCTTCCTTTCTCTCTCTCTCTCTCTCTCTCTCTCTCTCTCTCTCTCTCTCTCTCTCTCTCTCTCTCTCTCATACCAAAAAACTATGTCAACAAGTTAAGCCTATAGTCTTCTGAACTAATTAAGTCTCCTGGATGGTTTCAATAACTTTTGAGGAAAAAGTAGCCTAGACTGCTTAGGGCAGGGCCTTTGATATTTCTCCTACCACGGCACTCCAAACCATCTTCCACACAGCTGCCAAAGTAATTTTCCTAGAACAAAGGAATGACTATGTCAATTTCCTATTCAATTAACTGCACTGGCTTTCTATTGACTCTAGGATCAAATTTTATTTAATTTTATCTTATGCTTTTTAAAATTTCTTTTTTGGGGGCAGCTAGGTGGCACAGTGGATAGAGCACCAGCCCTGGAAGTCAGGAGCACCTGAGTTCAAATCCAGCCTTGAACACATAACACTCACTAACTGTGTGACCCTGGGCAAGTCACTTAACCCCATTGCCTAACCCCCCCCAAAAAAAAGGAATTTCTCTTTTGTATACATAATTATCAATGTAGCAATATAAGTGTATCATGTATAAATAAATAAATACACATCTACTGGGGATGTATGCTCAAAAAATTTTCACTAAAAGGGGTGCATGCCCGAAAAAGCTTGGAGACCACTGGGTTGTCAGTTACCCAGAGTGGCACATTAGAGGCTAACTCTCAGAGGATGATGTCAGAGACAGAACTTGACTCCTGACTCCAAGACCCATCTTTCCCCTAGACAAGTCCTCTCACTTACATATTTCCTTTCTTAGTTCTTCCCTTTTCACAAGCTCTCCCATGCTGAGAATGCATTCCCTTCTTATCTCTACCTCATAGAATACCAAAGTTCCTTCAAAACTTATCTTAAGGGCTATCTCCTATATGAGGGCTTTCTTGACTCCTCTACCTGCTAGCTTCCCTTTTAAATTAATTTTAATTTTACAGAATCATAGAATTTAAGAGTTGGCCATTTACTCCAAACCATAAATGAATAGAATCCCCTATAAATATATCCTACAAGTGGGCATCTAGTTTCTGCTTAAAACACCTCTCAGAAGGGTGAAACTACCACCTCTCTCTAGTCAGCTTATTCTACTTTTAGGAAGTTCTGCCTGACACCAAACCTGAATCTGCTTTTTTTTGCAGCTTACAACTATTGCTCCTGTAGGGCGAAACAAAACAAATTATATGCCTCTTTTATATGACAGCCCTTTAAATAGTTGGAGACAGCTGTCATGTTCCCCCTGAATTATCTCTTCTCTAGGCTATACAGCCACAGTCCCTTCTATCCACCCATTTTCATTCCATGCTACCATGGTCTTCTGTCCCCTCTGAGTCATCTCCTCAGGTTAAATACTCCTATGTTTCTTTAATTGATTCTCATATGTCAAGAACCATCTTGGTTACCCTCCTCTAAATACTCTCTAATTTATTAAACCATATCACCCAGAAATGTACATGGAACTCCAAATGAAGTCTGACAAGGTCAGCATACAGAGGGATTTTCAACTCCCTATTGTAATTGGGTCCACCTTGCTCTGATACTCATTCTCCTAAGATTAAGATAGCATAAACCCAACAGATACAAAAAGAAACAACAATGCCTTGTGTTCGTGGCCACATGGCAATGAGGTTTAAAAAAAAGGGGAGCTTGAGTCTCCTCCATCAGTT